TGAATTTAAATTTTTCTTATGCCTCTGTATAGTAAAATATTTTAATGTAATAATAACTCTTGACATGCCCTCTCATATTTTAGGTTTCTAAAAATTGGCATATCCCCTAGCCCTAGTTGCCATGTGATGACGGGTTATCATCCCTCGTTTGGAAGTGCTTCTTGCGAGTACTTTGTTTTGTCTCTTTACTGTGTTCTTTTATATGTACCGTGACTTGAAATTTTGAGCTGATTACAATAATATTAGTCATGGACCAAACAATCTATCTGCTGAGGTTATATTTGAATTGTAAACTTTGTTCCATATCTATCTGTATGTTTAAGGATCATAATAGACATTGTAAATTTGAATTATAACTTTGTCAAATATCCTTTGCATGCAGACCGAGTATGGAATTCTTATACAAAATCAGGCAGCTAAAGAAGAGTTGCATGATTTTGAGAGTGGTAGAAATCAATTTATGGAGAAAACCAAGGAATCGGTTGAAGAGCATAAATCCATGTCCCCTGAGAATGCGGTCTCTGCTTTGCAAGTTGGTTCTGCATCGAACTCAAATCTTCGCAGGAGCAAAAGGAGGGGCAGAAGGAAAATTGGTTCAAAGGGTTGGAAGCGGAGATAGTCGGCTTAAGTTGAATCTAAATGAACTGATTATTTGTTTCTTTAGACAACTACAGGAGCTCAGAACTTATCAATCATAACCTGTAAATGGTAGTTTTGTCGGATGTAAGTTTTCTCACATCAAAATGAGTTCTTACATCAACAAATGAGTTCAATTGTACATGACGTAAAAAGGTAGCATGCTCTGTGTACAAAGAAAGCTTGTGTTTATAATTATCGGAGAATTGTTGATTTGGGCAATTTTTTCTTGATTTGCTTGGGCATTATTGAATCAGTAATAGTCTTTTCTCCCTTTTGTATCCGATGAGTCACTACATATGCTGTTATGTTGTTGACACAGGTGATTGTGTTCTTTCTATTCTTTTTCTCCTCAGTTTCTTTAATTTTTTTCATGTGTTTTTTTAAGTGATGATTCTATACAAGTTAATTATCCAAGCGTATTTAAAGATAAAACATGCTGAATTGTTATTGTATTAAGACTTTGTGTAAATTAAATAAATTTTTCTACTGAGTGTGTAAATTGCACATTGGTTGTTGATGTGGCCGAAGATACTAAACAACATAAACACAGCATTAGATTAGTATGATCTATTCTGAAGATGATTTACCAGTTATTTTTTGAAAAATGTAAGGAGTACTTTTTTATTTTATTTAAAATATAAAAAAGATAATAATGACATACCTTAATGAACCTCTTTCATTTTTATAATTTAAAATAATAAATTTTAGGTTTAATCCTTTACTACATCCCTATTTATGTACGAATTTCTCAATTAGGTCCTCGTTTTTTAAAGTGTATTATAATGGTCCCTAATTTTGAAAATTGATATCAATTGAGTCCTTTCCGTTAAGTTGGCTGGACGGCGTTAAAAAAATTGATGAGTGGATGCTGAGATGACGAACGAGCGCTCGTCCACCAGCGAACGAACGCTCGTCCACCAGAGAACGAACGCTTGTCAACCTCTTACTGCTGGACAACCGTTCGTTCCACACTGGACGACCGTTCGTTCGGTGGTCGACGAGCGTTCGTTCGCTGGTGGACGAGCGCTCGTTCGTCATCTCAGCATCCCACTCATCAATTTTTTTAACGCCGTCCAGCTAACTTAACGGAAAGGACTCAATTGATATCAATTTTCAAAATTAGGGACCATTTTGATACACTTTAAAAAACGAGGACCCAATTGAGAAATTCGTACATAAATAGGGATGTAGTAAAGGATTAAACCTAAATTTTAATTGATAGAAGTCTGTTAAAAGGTGTAAACTTTTCATTTTTTTTTTCAACCAATTCATTCATTACTTAGAAATCCAATTATTCATCCTATGTACATAAAGGAATAAAAAGATGAGTCATAGTAGCATTGGATTAAAAAAAGACAGGAAAGAAAATAAAAGGTACAGAGATTATATAAATCTACAAAATAGGATTGAAAATTTTCACTTAACATAGACAAAACTTCTTCTTGAGGGGCATAAGTGCTATATATCCATTCATTATGTATTTTATGCTTTGGAATCAGTTTCATCTTGTGCATAATTCAATATGAATTACATTGGTAACCTTAGATATATGAAATGCTCTGCACTATTCTTAAAGAGTCACATTACAATTCTAAAACAGAGACATCTTCTTTCATGAAGGGTTTGACTTGTCTTCTTCTATTACACATTAAACCAGCAGATTAATGAAGAGTGCATCCTTTCAGTTCTTCACATATTTAAATTTGAAAGAAAATATATTCTTTTAGCCCACATCACTAAAATATTATTTCTTTAGTTGACACTACTACAATTACATATAATTCTCACTTCAAATTTGCAATATAAAATTGGACTTATTTTAAAAATTAATTTTATTCCACTAAAATAATAAATAGATTTTTTTTACTTTTTTAATTTGTTTTAAAATTGCTATTTCTTCTTATAAAATTAACTATTACATAATTATTGAAAAAGAATGCAAGAATAGTTGAAAAGCTTGAGGTATTTTTCCTATTAAATTTATATTAATTAAATATTTTTTCATTATTGTCATAATCATAAAATACAATTATTTTGGAACCAGGAAAGTAATTGATAACTAAGAATAACTTTGGTAATGTAAACATGATGTTATTTTAGTTCTTATATTTAAATTATTTATTATTATTTTATTTCTAAACTTAATCTACATATCTAAATTTAATTTATTTTCTCTCTTAAAATACTTTTAAGAGAGTTATTTATAAAAAAAAATCATTATTTTGATATGAATCTCACAAACATAACTGGTTTAGAACTGAAGAAATGTTTTTTTTTTATAGTTTTAAACAATTTATTTTTATAGAATCTACTGTGAAATAATATTTCTTTTTGACCAACAATAAGCAAACTGAATATACTCTTAATATATTGACTTAGGATAATGTTTTTGGGACCTAAATAATAATAATAATTATAAAAGTTTTAAAGAGGATTACTAAAATATATTTTTTTAATTTTTTTACATTTATAAACACTGAATTACAACCAGAGTCTCCTTAAAAGTGAAGCAAGTAAAATACTTGTTTCAGGTCTTAAAAAAAGCTCTCAATTTTTTTAGTATTAATATTTTTTTGTTAAATTAATTATAAAATTATGTTCAAGAAAAAAAAAGTCTCAATTTTTTCAAATACTAATATATCTCTATTAACTTAATTATAAAATTATGTTTAAGAAACAAAATGCCCCAATTTTTTTTTCAGTATTAATGTGCCTCTATACAATTAATTATAATTTTATGTTTGAAAATAAATTTAATTAAATTATTATCATTATCTCTTAATTTTTATTGATACTAAAAATGACATTTAATAAATTAAAACATATTTTTTAATAAATTATAACTTTGTAATTTAGGAAAAAGAGAATAATTAATTATCTTTATTCTCTTATAATCAATTTTGATTTTATTTGTATGTAACTTCTCATTTACTGATTATTGATTTTATTTATTGTCTCTTATTGTTTTATCTTAGTATAGAGCTCTTTATTTGAGAGTTTTGACAAAATTTTTTTTTTTAATTTCATGTTGTTTGTGTCTATCAATATTTTTATCTTCAATTCTAGTTAATATATTTTTGTTTCTATTTGTATTACATTGTTGAATTTGTATTAGGATTAGAGACATGTTTTTTTTTGTCTGTTTTGTTTTTCACTATTTTTTAATTTATGGGTCTTGAGAGTTTTTCTAAATATATATTTTTATAACAACTGAATTTTTTGTACGGATTGAATTGCATAACTATTTATTTAACCTTTTGATAAATAATGAAAATGCAATTTGTATTAATAAGTTATAAACAGGAGTTGGAATTGAAAAACAAAAGTTAAATAAAATTAATTATGATAATTTAATAGATAATTTTATATTAAAAACTTGAAAAATTAATTTTAAATAAAAACCTTCATTTTTAAGTTTCTAAAACTTTGAGTCACGTTAAAATATAACTATAGTGACAATTTCTTGTACAATAAAGGTCAAAATTCATATATTAAAGAAACTAAAAAAATATCACATATAGAGGCTAAAGTGATAAGACATAATTATCATTGAGAAGTATCAAAATACAAGCACACTAATTACATTTACCATTTTTGTACATCATATAATTATCTATTTAAACTAAATTATATAAATTTAGCTATTCATGAAAAGAGAAGGAAGAAAAAACTATCTTCATTAATGTTTATATGATGCCTATGATTACCCTTTGCAAAAAAGAGTGCTAGGCTACCTTCATTCCTATGTTGTTCTGACCTATTACTCTTTCACGGTATATTAGTATTCTTGCTAACCAAATGCCATACAATTACAAATCATATGCTCAAGCATTGTCCAGGGCACAACTTTTTACCTTGTTTCAAGCACCATTAAATTATGTATCCAAACAAGGTTTCCAACTTCATTTTCATTACTGACATTAATCCTCTTCAGTGATATAGCATTAGTCCTTCGTTTCTTCCTTCATCCTCGCAATTAGCTCCTCACCTAAACAACAATCATATATTCAGTTCACAACTTATTAATCTACATAATGATAAACAATACTATCAAAAGACCATAGAGATTGCAATGTAAACTAAACCACACATTCACACAATTTAATAACTATCAAAAACTTAGATAAAAGAAATCAACTCAACTTTAATTTGGAACAAATTATCATTTAAATGACCAAAATTTCTAAATTAGCTTTAACATATGATAACAACACTAAAAAAAATAAACTTAAACATTAAAACAATTATGAAGAACTAACTATAAATCTATAAAAAAAAACTCTCTCCCTATCTTATAATATGAAATTTTAATACTAAATAACTTATTTGTGTTTATGGAAGAAAAGATATTTGAATGTTACTCAATAAATGTGGTATTCATTACATAAGAAACAAGTGGTGTTGTCTTTGTGGACATGACCAGTTATAAAGTGTGGTTTTTGTTGGATTGGAATTTGAGGTCCTTGTATTGCAGTTTCTGGCACATTTGTAGTTTGAGATTGAAGTTCCTTTTTTATTTCAGTTCCACTTTGAGGTTCTTCTTTCAAAGTTTCAGGTGTAGCTGTAGTTTGAGACTCTTCTTCTATTTTAGTTTCAAATGTAGTTATAGTTAGAGGTTCTTGTATACTTTCAATTTTAGGTCTAGTTGGAGTTTGAGATTCTTGTTCAGATTCAATTTCATGTTCTTCTACTTTAGTTTCAGATGTAGTTGGAGTTTGAGGCTGTTCAGTTTGAGGTTCTTCTACTTCAGTTTCAGGTGCAGTTGGAGTTTGAGGTTGTTGTTCAGTTTGAGGTTCTTCTACTTCAGTTTTAGGTGTAGTTGGAGTTTGAGGTTGTTGTTCAGTTTGAGGCTCTTCTACTTCAGTTTCAGGTGTAGTTGGAATTTGAGGTTGTTGTTTAGTTTTAATTTGAGGTTTTTCCTCTATCTCAGTAATATACGAGACTGTATCCTTGGATGTTGTCTTTCTAATGAAGGTTAATCTTATGATCTTGACAGCAATTAGAGCCAAAATTGTAGCTGAGGGCACAAATACAACATCAGGTATTGCATTCATGAGTGCAAGTTGAGGCACTATTTGTCCTGTTTTTTTAGCCATCATGGCTGCTGGTGGTGCCATTATTGCGGTGATTAACATAGACTCGTCTACTTTGTTTATATTCACTTTCTCGATGATGAACTTAATGAACTTCTTTCTCTTCTCTTCTGTATCAATTTCTTTCCATTGTTCGAACAATTCCTAAAAAAAAAGTTTATGAGCAGCTAAAAAGTTTAACTTATGCCAAAGTTTAAATAAAATGCATGTGTTATATATCATGTGTTAGTTTCATTATAATAATTTGTATATTTTATATTCAAGAGTTGTTTTATATAAAATAAATATAATGGATAAAAATATTAAAAATGAAAAAAAAAAAGTAAATCTATCCTTCCATTTCTTAAATATGCTTAACATCAACTTTGGTGGTTAAGAAGATAATTCACTGTATTATACTCAATTATAAATATATTCTTTAATGTTAATAGAATGCATAGAGAAAAATCCCTTTTTTTCTGCATACGTTCTCTATGTTAAAATGACCTTTGACAATTTATAAGCATAGACAAAAAGATAAATAAGGTATGGTATACATAAGCTTTCTAAAGTTTTGTTTTATTTAGCAAAGTAAGCTTTCCGTTTCACCAAATGGTCGATATGTCCGAGTGGTTAAGGAGACAGACTTGAAATCTGTTGGGCTTCGCCCGCGCAGGTTCGAACCCTGCTGTCGACGCCAAGTTGTTTTTTGTTTATAATAAAAACATAAAATTTTATTAAAATTAACGTGTTTTATTACATTTAATGAATATAAACTTTTATTCATATATTTTTCGAAAAAATATTCAGATTTTCATTCGATTTATTTGTATGCTATCCTTTATATTTCACAAAATGACACCTTACATTAAATCTAAAAATAGTTATACCCATTGACACCTTTTTTGTCCTAGTTAGTAACAAATATGGCTCTACAATTAATGTAAAATAATCAATCCTGATTATATTTTACATATAAGACATGTTTTTCAAAACTAGAGAGATACTCTGGTAGGTGCTTAAAGGAAGACAAACATTACAGTAAAAATGTTGAAGATACTCTTTATATTGGTTTTGGTAGCTAGTAACCAATGTAAAAAGATTTTGTAATCTACCACCATGGCATATATTGGTTTGTAAAACCATTGTGAAAAGGAATCTAATATTATAAAGGGTTAAATATGTTTTTAGTTCCTAAACTATTAAGCGAATTTGATTTTAGTCCCTCTTTCAAAGTAAGGTACATTTTAGTCCTCCTCCTTAAGAAAAACTTAATTTTTGGTCCTCCAAAATCAACGGCGTTAAAAAAAAGCTGATGTGTCTAACGTCTGGCCACGTGTGATGACATCTTTTCTTACCACGTTGGATTTTTTCAATGCAAACGTTAGCTTCTCCTTGACGTTAGTTGCCTTTCTTTTTCCCTGGGCAAAACACCCTCTTCTTTCTCTGTGAGACCAGCAGCACCCACCGAGTCAGCACCCATCGAGCCAGCACCCCCCTCTGGTCAGCCAAAGGCGTCTCTGGCGACGCCGCTCGTCGACAGACTCATTGCCAGTGATCGCGAAAGCCCTCCTTTTATGTCTTCTTGTGCGCGAGAGGAAAACACCCTCACTCAACGGGATGCGTTCTCCCGGCCACCGTCGAGGCCAGCCGCCGCCGGTGCCTCCAATGGAAGAACCCGCACCCTTCCCGGCGGACTGACCTCTCCCGATCGTGAGCCCTAACGCCTTGGCACCCCAACCACCGCTAGCCGAAGACGCCGCTGGTGACATTAAAGACGTGTGACCTTCACTCTCCTAACTGAGCCGGCTGCCACGATGGTCCTTCGACTTGGCCCAAGGCGTCGCCGGTGGATTTCAAGATTATGCGAGGAAGGCTTTGTGATGGGTGGTTTCTGGGTTTTCCATGGCTATGCGAAGTTTGTGGTTGGGTTTTCTGGTTTTGATTTTTGATGCAGGTTGGTGCGATTGACGAAGGAGGAGAAGACACAGTGGTATGCGATGGCTAATGCGATTCACGATTGTTGTTCCATGGGTTTCGCGATAGAGAGAAGGGTTGATTGGCGATTTCAGTGGTTTTGTTTCTATGTTGATGATGCACAATGAGTATGATGGTTCGATCCAGTTTATGTTTGCAGGTTTGCAATTCTTGTGCGAATTGGGTTAATGATGGAAGAGATCGCGATGAAGGTTTGAGTGATTTTAGTTTTCTTATTTGGGTCTTTGTGGTGGTGGAAGGAGATGAACTAATACGCGATTTGGAGGATTTCTGGGCACTGGAGATGGAGGTTTTGACGGTGTCCATGGAGGTGAGCGTGGTGGAGGGTGGTTGCACATGAGGGTTTCGCAGTTGGTGGTGGCGCCAGAGGTGTTCGAGGTGGCGTCGGAGGTGGTTGTGGTAGAGTCGGAAGGAGAGGGAGGGAGAGGAGCTGAGAAAGATTAACTTGTGTCAGGCAAAAAAATGACGTGGCACACCACCGTTAGCCATATCAGCTGGTTTTTAACATTGTTAGTTTTGGAGGACCAAAAATTAAGCTTTCCTTAAGGAGGATGACTAAAATGTACCTTAATTTGAAAGAGGGACTAAAAACAAATTTGCTTGATAGTTTAGGGACTAAAAACATATTTAACCCAATTATAAATTACTATGAAACTATTTAAGTATGCATTCTATCTAAATCAAAGTTAGATACATTGTCCCCATAATGTTCTTTTATATTGGATATTTGACTTATTGTGGCTTAAACCATTACAATAACATATCAAATCTTGATGGAACAAAAAGATAACACCTTATTTTTTAAATGTAAATGTGTTCATTAATTAACAAATTAAGTCAACAATCATTATTTCAAGATATATATTTTCCATGAACTTAATATATAATTGTATTATAGTTCGATGTTCATAATCTAATATGTTTCATGTTATACTTTGAAGATGTAACATCTAAAGGTTTAGTTTTTCTATCTCTATTGGTCCTGATTAGGGATGGTAAAAAAATTTGTGTCCATTGGTACCTGCAGATAAAATATGCGACAAATAGTTGGTACTTGTGGGTATTTATTACTCGCGGTTGCAATTATTTTAATATCCACTTATAAATGGATCAGATATGAATATTATATATATATATATATATATATATATATATATATATATATTTGTACTCACAGGTATATGCTACTCCCAAATTATTAAGTTAAATTTAATTAAAATTAAAATTAATTTATATTTTATCATGTTAAATTTAATTAAAATTAAAATTTATTTGATATTTAACTTAATTTATATTATATTATATATATATTTTTTATAATTTTATTTAAAAATTTAAAAAAATATATTTTTCTAAATATTTGTTGGTATCCCATTGTATCCACAAATTTTAAAATATCTGGATATGTATATATAGCGGGTGAACTTTTTTGTGTGAGTCGAGTAGCGGATAAACACTATCCGTGTCCGATCCGACCTGTTGTCATTCTTAATCCTGACATCTTATATGGAGAAATTAATTTTTCTTTCAAAACTCTACGTGTTTACATGATCTTGGAGAGCAAAGTTAATTTTGATTTTGTCTTGAGATAAGTTGTTTATATTATAGGTTAATTAGAGCAAAGTTAAAGTATATGTCTTGGCTTAGAATATAAAGACGTGCATGCAAAGGAAATAACCAACCTTTACATCCTTATATGAAGGTGCAACAAAATGCTTGCCGGGTAAGGCCATGTTGATAGTGCTGCATTGAATTTATTACCAAAATATGAGATAATTAATATCAACAACCTTTAATTTCCACAGAATGTAGAACAAGAATGCTTAACAAATGTGATGATATTTTCATTTTTCGTCCTGAAATTTTAGTCACCTTTGTATATGTTTCTCAATGAAAAAATCAATTGAAAATAATTTCGCAATTATAGATACAAGACGTTATGCAGATGATAACTTCTATATCCCTTCCAAAATACATTTCTTTCTAAACACTTAGAATAAAAACAAAATAGCTCGTGCAAGTTTAATTTTAAATAAGCTAAATAGTTTTAATTTTGTCAAAAAAAAATTAATTTAATTCATATATTGACTATTCTCAATTCATGGAAAAAGTTGGTCAATTTCTGTTTTTTTTTCTTTCTATAAATGTTTATGTAAAAACTATTTTTCATCATCTTCATATCATTCCAAGGAAACAAACTATTATAGAAGATAGCATTATCATTGGAATTGAACTGCTTACTTGAAGGTATCAAGAATACCAACATTGAATCCATCAAATCCTTTGATATCCTTCTCAACAAATTTATCATACAGTGTATTCACCACCAAGTTCAACAACTGGGTGGTTGATAGACCTGAGATGCAAAATAAAAATGCAGCATTTATCAGTATATGACGAGTATTACTATATATATATATATATGAAAGGGAAAAAATGAATGAAGAACCTTTTCCTGTCATGAAGCTCATCGCCATAATTGTTATTGTTGTTGAGAATTAAGAAAAAAGCTGTAAACAAAGATTAACTTATAAAATGGTGGTGTGGGTTAATGGTATCTCTTAACTTTGTTGTGAAAGCAAAGTATGACTTTCCCTGTAAACTTCAAAGCTAATAATATATTATGAATTGTTTGTTTATTATTGTGTGATTCTTGGCTTGGAATAGCTTTCCACCATGCTTAAAGCAGAATATAACTTGTTTAAATAATGCAGATTATAATATTAATCCATCTGCATTCATGTTTTGATTTTACGTTGAAGAATCAATAGTGAAAAGTTTCATAAAAGAATATTACACTTCAACTTATTTGCCACTCACATAGCAAGGAACATATTTTCTAAAAATGGCAAAATTGAAAGGAAGTAAATTCTTTAAAGTGGTAGTTATATAAATATATATATCTTTGATTGAAAAAAAACGTTATACAAAACATGAGGAAGTTGAAACCACTCTCAATTACATGTATCTTTATAAACTGTTTCCATTATGGGTCGAAGTTAACTGTATAGCTGATATTTTGAACATCCAAAGGTTAAACTGAGAAGTTAACTAATACTAAAATCAATAAAAATTCGATCTTTTAAGCAATTAATGTATATTAAAAGTAATTATATTTTGTCTTTAATCAATCGGATTTATAATTAATTCTTCTTAAAAACTGATGTTTCGGTAAGATGTCACCCTCAATCACTTTAAAGTGTGTTTTTTTTGTAAGGATTGATTTTAGGGATATCAAATGCATATATTTAAAGTGAAGTTTGTGTTATTTCTTTTAAAAAATTTAGAAGAAAAGTTTGTAATGAACTTAACTGATAAATTAAAAAAATATTTTAATAGATTAAAAAATAAGATTATCAAATTGGACTTAATATTAAAAATAATATAAAATGATATTTAAACGAGCTAAAATTATTTTAAAATTTTTGTTATGAATAAAATTTTAATAAAATATTAATTGAATTAAATAAAGAATACAATATATTTGGTATAAAAAATTAAATATTTTGCTCTTCAATATTAAAACTCAAAAAAATTAAAGAATTTTTATCATATAATTAATAAAGTTAACTCAAAATATGACATAATATAAGACAAATATATACATTACAAGATAAATATAATCAATGATCAATCAAAATAAAATCATTCATTTATACTATTATTCCCACAATACATCTTGTATGAGGTAGAAGTTAATAGAAAATATGATTCATGATCAATCAAAATAAAACCATTCATTTATATTATTATTCTCACAATACATCTTGTATGAGATAGAAGTTAACAGAAAAAGTCGTAACACTGTATGAATAAATTATTATTTTAAATATTTATACCGTTAATAACTTAAAAATTTATACTCCAATATATTAAGATGAAAGAAGAAATTAAATATGAAAAGATTATGCAAATATGGTGTAATTAAAGTCATTAACATAGTAAGCGATAAAAGTGTTTCATACATGAATAAAACAAACATAGTAATGAATTATAAACAAAAGGGTCAAACACTCCCCATCATCATCTCAATTAGCTTATTCCAACGAAGATTTGGAGGCAAACCCATCAGCCGTTTGGTATAGACAGGATTTGTGCAGAGAAAATCATAATAATGTTCCATAATAGATTCTTCTTGTATGTTCATGCCAGCTAGCATCTCCCATACGTCACTTTCTGAGTATTGGAAAGTTGACCTGCGACGCATAATATAATTTTGCTTCTCAATAATATCATTTTGCTCCTCAATGGCACTTCCCAGTCGTTCCATTATGGATAATATTTTTTCAAAATGAGAGTTACTCGATCTCAGAACATTCATTAACTCGTCTAGTTTTGTAATGAGCTTCTCGAACTGGGAGTCCATCAAATCAACCATTGGTGCTTTTCGTTTTGAGCCTCGTGATGTCGAAGTCTCACACGATGGAATAGATGTCACAGGTTGAGTAGGCCCAGGACTATGCTCATCCATACCTGATGGTGATAGTGAAGTCGAATAAGTACCTCTTTCATAGAAAGGTGACTCTGGTATGTACTCCATTTGATAATTAAGATCAACCTCTAACTTTTGTTGCTGGTGTTGACGTTGTTCTTGACGTGTTGCGCACACACTACCACCTGTTGCTCGACCCCATAATTCCTCCATGAGATCGTAGTGTCTAATGAAATGAATTAAATATAGTTCAGGACGTAGTACATTATTGAATAATAATATAAAAGTGAAAGTTTCATTTTTCGAATTTACAAGATGTTCAAAGGAAACAACAAAGATATACTTTCTGGTCTGAAGATGCGATGTTGTTTGATCAACTGAAACTCTGGTGTATCTAAATGCAGAAAGTTGATTTAATGAGCTAACACACATATTCTACAGTATAGCAGATACTCTTCATTCTTTATACTCACAAACAGAGTAAATTTACCTTAATGGAAGTGAAGATATTGATGAGAATTTTCTCATGCTATACCATACTTGCTGCCTTAGTAGACCTGCATACTCTCAGTCCCTTTGGTTACTAAAGCATTGTATCTACATATTATTCTCCCTCTATGCCTTTCCTGCTACCCCTTGGAATCGTTAGAACTTTTCATGCTCTATCACATTCACAGTTGGAAAGTTTTGATGAATCACTGATTACACTAGAATACCACACTTAACATCAGTAGATATTTTGTTTGTGAAAAATAGTTGAACCTCTTAAAACTTTGAATTAAGTACTTACTGTGTTAGTGTTGCTCATATCCTTGTCATGGATGGTAAAGGATAGGAAAAAATGTTATGTTTTAGGATACTAATAACATTTTAATTTTTTTTATTTTATTCTCAATCGCTGCTCTCTTTGTCCATCCCCTATTTCAATTTCCACACCATTCCAACGTACCTATCAAATAAAATCACCTAAATACAAACTACACAAAACTAAGAAAATGTCTCTATTCATTACCTTCCCATTGCTTCACCCAATATCCAGTAGTTACACATTTAAAATTTCAGATTTCATTCAATTGAGGCGTTATAACCCTATTAAGGAGTTTCAAGTAGAAAATAATAATGTGCGATTTCTCATGTTTTGGGTCATCAATTGCCAAAATCAGATGCGAAAGTCGTGCCTTTCAGTTCAAGGTTTTCTGCAATTCATGAATTATTTTTCTAAAACAAAAAACAGAATATAGCAGTTCAAGGATCAATTCCAAAAACCTGAAATAAAATACAATTTTTTAACCTAATACACCACACTGATTTTGAAATTTGTTTACGCATTTTCACATACTTGCGGAAGTAATGAGAGAGAAGGAAGAATAGACTAACCGAAGAGACACCAAACCTCTGGTGTTGGATCCTTGAGCAAAGACTACGGATACCGAATCGGTGGAACGAAAAGGCAACCGTAGTCCTGGAAGACGCACGGCACACCGGAAGGAGGAAGACACACTATCGAAGGCAAGAAGCACTAGAGTTCTGGAAAAGTTGATTTTCTAGGGCACCAATTCTAAGAGAAGAAGACATGAAGGAAGAAATACAAATGTACGAAAGGTCATAAAAGATTAAAGAGGGAAGGTGAAAAAGAAATGGAGGGAAAAAAAATTAAAAAACACTACCTGTTCTAATTGGCGGGAAATGACACCAAGTACTTCTCAGGATAGAAATCTTCCTCTGCCGCATGTTTCTTCTGGAGGTTAGTATAACCTCTCTTAAATAAATAAATAAATAAATATATATATATATATATATATATATA